CTCTCTATATATATATATATATATATATATATATTTACCCCCTCCCTCTCTATCTTTCTCTTTGTCTTTCTCTGTATCTCCCTCTCCCCCCTCCCTTTATTTCTCACTCTCTTCTTCTTATCTCTCGCTCTGTCTCAATCTCCATCCCTCCTCTCTCTCTCTCTCACTCTCTCTCTCTCTCTCTCTCACTCTCTCTCATAACCACACCCATGACACCACATTTCCTGCAGGTTGTGAGGTCGTCAAGGCAGACATTGACGACGTGGCGTCCCTGAAGTCGGCTCTGAGCGGCGCCTATGGCTGCTTTGCCGTCACCAACTGGTGGGAGTACTTTGACAAAGAGAAAGAAATTCAGCAGGTATGTATGAGCAACACAATGTATGCTGACGTAGCATCCCTGAAGTCAGACGATTATTTTTAAATATTTTTTAGAAAAGTTATAATAAAAAATTATAATATAAAATATAAAAAAATAAAAATAAAAATTTTAATATAAAAATATAAAAATACTCTCTAGCATCCGTTAAGAATGATTGCAGTCGACCTCAGATTTATCTCTGTGGGTATAAATTCCACCTGTACGCAAATATGAAAATTAATTAGTATGCTTATCCATATTGTTTAGAAAAAATCTAGCTTGTCTGTTCTGTCTGCTTACCAGTACCTGCAAAATCTGTGCCCATATCTATCTATTCTTGTTTGTAACCAGGGCAAAAACATTGCCGACGCATGCGCAGACTGTGGTGTGAAGCACCTAGTCTTCAGCAGCCTGGACGCAGCAGAAAAACTGAAGGGTATTTCCGTGGCCCACTTTGACGGGAAAGCGGTTATTGAGGAATATATGAAAGCAAAAGGTAAAAACATATTCTCGAATTTTCAAGGATCCTACATATACTAGTACATGTACAGACTGCAAAACGGCATTGGTCAGAAGTTGCAAAAGGACTGTTATCACTTCAAGTAAAGACCGGATTTTAGGCTATGGTTCTTTTTCGCTGCAACATCATTGCAGGATGTGCTCTAGTTTTCTGCATCTCAAGAAAAAAAAAGCTGGTAGGAAACCAGAATACATTCTTTGTTTCTACGTCTCGCGCCTTGCGTCAAATCCACTGATGTTTCACGGAATTGGAGAGAGTTGAATCACATATAATAGCAGACTAGATTGCGGTGCGCCAACGAATAAAAGTTGTCAGAACTTATCGACGCATATTTTATGGTTGCTTGGTGTTAAGTTCTGACAAATTACAGAAAAATGCACGACAGTTTGCTGTTACTATGTTTTGCGTTTGACTTTTGTATCGCTTTCGAAAAAAGATATTCCCAACGCAGTGAGTTTCAGACTTATTGCCAAAAAGCTGAACCCAGTACTCGCGGGTTCTAGTACGTTCCCTATTAGTGACGTTGTTTTATTTTATCTTGGTGGATTCCCCTTGCCAGTATTATTTCAGTAGTTTTCGTATAGACTTGAGAGACAGAACTAACTTAAAGGGATAATAACTCTTCGTTTCAGCCAAAAAATGAATTTTCCTAGAGTAAACAACAATTTTCCCATACTTACCAATGGTTAATGAATCCATTTTTACATTCAAAGTTAGTCCCTGTTTTTTTTTTCTAAAAAGTTCGGTTTTTTGTTAAAATCTCTTAAGAGATTTTCACAGAGTATAGCCATTAGTGGAGGTCACGTGGTCTAAAGACAAGCTCAGATATCAGAGTAATAGCTATAACTGCCGTTTTTGTGGTAAAACAGAATATATTATATTTCTATGAGTTATTCACAATGTTTTTATTGTGAAATATAGATCTCATACGAAGAGTTATTATCCCTTTAATAGCTAGTAAGTCTTGTTTTCATTATTTACAGGAATTCCTCACACGGTTGTGCGGTATGCCTTCTACGCCGAGAACCTTTTCGGTATAATGAAACCCCAAAAGACACAGGACGGAAATTTTGCTTTGGGTAAGCCAGCTGCTTCAAACGTTATTTAACAAAAATCGACATTAACGGAAAGCATTGTGCACGATAAGAAGAGTTCTTTGCATTGGCAGTTGCCTTTATAAAGAGAATGGCATAGAAGGCCCTCGGTTTTTATTTGATAATGCACCTTTTTTTAGACATAATAATATAGGTGACACAATGATACTTATTCTACTTAGTATTAAACAGATAAAATGGCCAGCATACTTTAAAGGACAGTGAGATATTTATGCCAATTATAATTATATGATGGGATTGGAATGCTTAAATATTTACTCAACATATTGAAGAAAATAGGGTCGTTGATATAAGTTAATTATAATTTTTTTGAAACCTTAAATTCTAAAATGTGCAGTGTCTAATTATAACAATGGTAATATCTGTTTTGATTGTATTTAAGGAGACTGCAGTTAGACTGGCCCGTGCTCATGGTTTTAAAATTGCAATCAGTTCCCTTGTCTCATCTCACGTTTAATACACGAAATCACTCAATGCGCTACTTTCAGTTCTTATTGTATTAAGTACTGGGGTCGATTGGAGGTCTTTCTATAGAAAAGCACCACGTGTTTGGGAGTCTTCGTGGCGCCGTCTTTTGGTAAAAGAAAACATCTATGCTACACTTTTTCTGTGAACAAGTAATACAGACTTTTAAGTTCATTTTCCTGTCAGGGATACCAATGGGAGATGTTCCTATGCACATGATCGTGTGCGCAGACGCGGGAGAGTGCATCCATCAGTTGTTCAACAACCCCAGGGAGTGGACCGGGAAGTCTCTGGGGCTCGCCAGCTGGATATACACCATAGACCAATACTGCGACATGTTCAGCAAGATTCTGGGAGTCACTGTCGTTAATCCCAAGGTAATAACCCTTTTTTGCTGCATTATTACATTTTCATTAGGCCATGCTGATAAGCTCGTAAACAGATTCAACTAAAATAGTCACTGTAGTACAAACATGTTATACTATGGCTTTCATTTTACAGAATGTGTTTTTCTAATATAGCTTATCTTTATGTATTTGGTAAAAAGGTTGCATGCAGTCATTTTAGCTGCAGATATAGGAATATGAAAGTCGGCAAATTTGGTGGCCTAGGGATGTCATGATATAACAACCGCTGGCGGGGTAGGCGGTTTTCAGAGACCCCCGAAGCCTTTGTCAAATTGTCAGATTTTTTATTCTATCACATTAATTTATATATCCATCCATCCATTCATTAAATTTTTATTTATTATCTTGCAGATGACAGCTGAACAGATGGCTGGGTTTGGTTTTCCCGGTGCCAATGACTTGGCCAATATGTTTCGGTTCTACCAGTGTGGAATCGACAGGAATCCAGAAGAATGTAAGCGTCTAAACCCAAAGATGGCGACCCTTGAGCAGTGGGTGACGGCGAACAAAGAAGCTCTTTTGAAAGCCTGGAATGTGTAATATCGTGATCTCGGTCGCTGGGATTTTGCAAAGATCTTGTTTGGATTGTTGTTGTGTCGTTGTCGAGAATTATTCATTAAAAGCACCAATTTTTTAAACATAGTATTACGACAAATACTGCGATTTCTTGCAAGACACAGTGTGGCATTTTAACCGTCAAACTTGATGAATTTGTTATATAACCAAGCTTACTGATGCGTTTTGTTTGTTCCTGGGCCATCCATGTATTAGTGTCTTTAGTCCACTATGCTTTATAATATTGTGTTGTCTAACAACTGGGGTTGATACAATGTTGTTGTCTGACGTTGATACAACGTTGTTATCTGACGTTGATCCAACTTTCAAATCCAACGTTTATCCAACGTCTTATCAACGTTATGGTTCAACGTTGTTTCAACGTTAAAACAACATAATTTGCCCGCTGGGCAACCACCTTCAAGCATATACACATAACGGAAACCATTGAAGACCGCAACGCTGCAGAAGAGTATACTTGGGATTCATTATTTGCACACTGATCAATATGTTATATTACATTTTATTAATGATGTAATCAAAATGAACAAGTTATGTACGTGAGCAGCTCGAGGAGACAACTGCGTGTCCTTTCCTTTTATGATGTTTTTGAAGTCTTGCTTTTATGACCATCCACGTCCAATTGATCCGTTAATATCCAATGATAATAATTATAACGTAAGATGTTTGAGTTCCAAATTCCTTGCGATCCCAATATATCTAATTTTTACGTCCAGGTGTCTCATTCTCGATGACTCATGGTTGTCGTACACATTGGTTATAATCGTCTTTGATAAACCCTTCGCAACAACCGCAGCTGAAACAGAAAAAAGCGTTAATGTAAAACTCGGAGAAAACAAACCCAATGTATCTTCGTATTAAGCAAATAGCAAATCTAGTTGACGATGCAACTATTGCTGATGTTTTGTGGGCAAAATGATCGTTTTTCTAATGAATCCAAATACTATGTTCACTATGACGGTTACAGAAAAGCAGTGAAAATGCCTATTATATGTTGTAGTCAGTTTTGTATATTGTTACACATTTGTAGATACTTACTCGGGGTTGGTGTTATAATCACATTCTGCTGCAGAACAAGCTATACTGTTACACCGTTGTCTTTGCCTAAATACATAAATAAACGAAATATTAATTTCATGACATCACTGCAGTCTTTCTATATAAAAACTCGTGTGTTAATAAACAGCAATACAAGTTAGAATCTCTAACAAATGATTATAATAAATAATGACAGGTTTTCGTTTGCTAATGTTATAAGCATAAGCGGTGGCAAAAATAAAAGCCAAGCCACGTACCCATCTGATAGATAATTAGTCAGTTAGGGAATGAAATGTCGAACATATGAAGCGTGGCTAGGAGCATCAGCATTACCCATTCGGGATTTAGTCGACGAAATGCAAATGTACGCTGTTTGCCAAGGAATAAGAATAGGGTTTCAAGAGTATGATAAGCATTGCGAAGTGAAAAACTGCATATACAATGTATGGAAACACTAATTAATTATTCCTCTTTACACTTCGACTCACCCTTAGGCCCCATGGTGTGTTTTTCCCCAAAACGTTTCCAATTTTGTTCGTTTTTCATCCGTTTTGTCTGTTTTGACTCACCCTTAGTGGTACTTTTCAAAATCTTGCCTTTCCTATACCTCCGGTAACTCTTATTTTGTCTGCATTTTATCCTAAACGACAGTAATCACATTGCTTTACGTTAACTACTTGTATATCTATAAACCATTATTTTGCATTCTTGTTAGTTTTATCGTGCTGGACCGCGTGTTGAAAAGAAGATATACTGTGCCATAAGACTGGTTGATCCACCGTGAGCTCTGAATCCGTACCCAGGGCATTGGTCTACATAAGACCTTCAAGCCAATCATGGGTACCTTTGCCGCCAATATGGCCGAATCATGGCCGCCAATAGAAAGTGTGTCGTTTATTAATGAGAGATGTGCCAAAATTGAAATGGATATTTGCATAGATATTTTGTAGGCTTCTATGATATGATGTCCAGTGTAAGTGTACGTGTCCACTTGCCTTAAAGTTGACTGATATAAATTAAAGTACCTTAAGAAAACACAGCTTCATCGCCACCTCTTATCTAAATCTAGTCACACATTTCTGTGTTTTTACAGGTAACGCTTGCGGAATGCTTAAGCCATTAATGTACAGATCTATACAGATAAAGACGCCTGGGCTGCGCCGTTAGTACCATTATTGAACCAGTCCCATGGGAAATGAAGCTGTAATAGATCTAGCATCAAAGCTGCGACATGTATTAGTGCTAAACCGGACCTTATACATAAATTACTTGGGCAACAATATGTACACGTAGGTATAATAATAATTATCATTAATCAAACAGATATATACGTGTATTCAAGTTACATCGGGTAATAGTCAAACCTATAATTCTGTTGATTAATCTAATGGGATGAAAGACAACTGAGGTACCCGGAAACGAAGCTTACGGTATTATGTGACGTATTGCGTGACGTCATACCAGACTAATGTGAGTGTCTATGTGAGGCACATAAGGGTTAACCTGTTAAAACCATTAAGGGTTAAACTGTATGCGCCGTGAATCACCTCTCAGAAAACGATACAAGTTCCCCGTAAGACATGGTGAGTGTCCGTGCTGTTTTGCAACTGAATATAATTTTATAAAACTTAGTAGAAAGCAACTAGAACAATATCCGTGGATAAAATAAATTATTTCTATTCGATGGCGCGCCCCACTCGTTAATATACCATTTTTTCTAGCCTCGCGCTCTAAATTCCGCAACACCTCGCCTGGCTTTACGCAACCCTAGTAAGTCGAGCAGCAAAGTTGAAATGCTCTCTCATTTGACTCCCATTGAACCATCCCACAACCAAAATGCTAAAATTGTCCGATTGACAAAGGAGCTAAAGCCCAAAATTAGGTTGTTTGGCCTTTCAGCCAAAAACTTTAGACAGTTTACTTGAAGATAAACCGTAATAGTTACTCTTAATAAAGGGAACATTGGTCTACAGCATTAACAATGTCTTTCGTGCGCGAAAAGCACAATATGAAATTTCAATGAGCCATTACTGATTTAACTTGGTTCAAAGAAGAAGATAAATTTGACCCTAATGTTTAAACACTTTTTAAACAAAAAGCCTCTCGTATTATACAGGTTACAGGACCAAAACACCATATTTTATGTCTGAAGTCAGTATAAAACATGCCAAAATCTGCAGTCAGAATAAAAACATACCAAACTCTGCAGTCCGAAAACGGCGGTTTTCTGTCCAACATGGGTATTTGTTCGTAATATGGGTCCCAGCATGCGTACTCCCTTTGCCTTTCTCCACAGCCACAGCCACGCCCAGCAGTGTCGCAATTTGTCCAGAAGGACCACGCTGTCCCCCGCCACACGGGCAGTTTGCACCAGCCGGTAACAGGATGTACGAGAGCGTCTTCACAGCAGTATTGTCTGCCATTAGCGTCCACACACGGCGGCTGCCACGCCCAGTACGACGAGATGGTGCAGCCCCCGCAGTCTTCCTCACCAGGAGTTGCTGTAGTTGTGGTTGGTGTAGTAGTTGTGGTTGGTGTTGTAGTTGTTGTTGGTGTAGTAGTTGTGGTTGGTGTAGTAGTTGTGGTAGGTGTTGTAGTTGTTGTTGGTGTTGTAGTTGTGGTTGGTGTAGTAGTTGTAGTTGGTGTTGTAAATGTT